CGGGTGTGTGTGTGTGTGTGTGTATTTGAGCTCACAGTGATTTTGGCATTGTAGACAGAAGTTTGGAATGGTTCAGCCCAGTGTGGCCCAGCCTCGGGGCTGTCCCCACGTGCCCAGCATGGTGTGTCCTAAGGTCATCTACTCCGTTTTTCACCTGCTAGATTTGCCCACAGAGATAGTATCAAGGGATGATGGAGCACCGGCTTCTCCCTGGGACTGTCTCACATACGCCCTCTTTTGGCAGCAGATGGGAAACTATGGCATCTTGCTCTCTGAGGTGCTGGAGGGACAGTCTTACTTAGGGTGTTTCTATTGTTGGGATGAAAACACCATGGCCAAGAGTAACTTGGGGAGGCAAGGGTTTAACGTTGGCTTCCAGGTTACAGCTCATCACCATGAGAAGCCAAGGTAGAAACTCAGGCCTGGAACCTGGATACAGGAACTGAAACAGAGGCCAAGGAAGTATGCTTTTTATTGGCCTGCTCCACATGGCTTCCTCAGCCTGCTTTTTTGCACACCCCAGGACCACCTGCCCAGGGGTGGTGTTACCCACAATGGCCTGGACCCTCCACATCAATCTCAAACTAAGAAAATGCCCCACAAACTTGCTTATAGACCAGTCTTATGGAGGCATTTCTCAATTATGTTTCCCTCTTGTCAGGTAACTCTAACTTACCTCACGTTGACAGTAAACTAACCAGGACAGGGGCCTGAAGGAATTCATTGGCCAGTGAGATGGCTCAGCTGGTAAAGGCACCTGTTTCCAAATCTGACGACCCGAATTCCCTCCCTGGGACTCACACGGTGGAAAGAGAGACGGAGACTCATGTTAACTGTCTTTTCCCATATGACCCCACCCATCAATAAATGTAAATAATTTTTAAAAAGTGAGTCCAATACACTCCAACAACTCTAGAGAGTACGGAGGGAAGAGGTGCCTGGCCTCTGTGTGATCCAGACAAAGCTCCCTGAGCAGTAATTGAGAGAGGGTTTGAAAGTAAGTTGTCACTGCACAAATCAAAGCCTGGAGTGGTATGGGTTCCCTGAATTTGGGTGAAAGCAGCATAATGGTCCCAGAGCAAACAGGCTGCTCCAGGATGCTGTTTTCTCTTTGGGGGTCAGAGAACACAGTGAAGGATGATGCTAGGATGCTCTCGGGGTGGGGGAGCTTTCTTTGGATGAGACTCTCTGTGCAGCCTGGAATTCAAACTGAAACCACATCCTCTATTTGTAGATGACTATGAAGCATCCTAAGTCAATCCGTTCACCACGATTATTGCTACCTCCAGACTTGAAGCTGTGATCAATTTTGTCTTGCCATGCTCAGCCTCTGTGGGTTACAAATGGAAACCATTACACAGACTTACAGCAAAGAACATGTCAAGGTCTAAGTGTTTTCATATACTTTCTGTCTACAAAATACCTCAGTGTGACACACACACACACACACACACACACACACACACACACACACACACACACCTCCTTGCCCGTTGGATCCCCAGGGAAAAGCACAAATTATGTAATGGTCATTTAACTGTGGATATTAATTCGTTTCTTTCAGAGGCAAGTTCTAAGGGCATGGAGGGTGTGTGTGTCCATTCCTGTTCTTCTACTGTCCCCTCCAGTGGGAGTCTTGACAAGACCAGTGCTCCCAGGGCCAGGCAGATCCTTAGCCGCGAGAGAGTTGCCCACAGAGAATCCCTCTTTATAGGGAATGGAGGGCAGAAATTCAAAATGGTGTCTCATTGCCTACTGAGCACAGAATTTTAATAATGACAGAAAGATGCTTTTAGGAGACCCCCCTTCTTTGAGGCTTATATGATCTCAGATTGCTTTGGGGGATGAGGCTGCTGCCTGATTCTGTGGGGCTGGCGGGGGAGACATGTGACATGTGTGTTACCTCTAACATACGAGAGTATAGCTCCTGTTGGGGAATCATCCACAGCTGACTATCCCTCCACCCCTGGAGCTTGTGGTGGCCCATGTCTTTGCTTACAGGGATCAACAGCTTGACTTTTGATAGCAATGCTTGCTCCCCTAGAAAGGGAGGTCAGCCCCCCAGAATCAGTAGAGGACACACCCAGACAACAAAGAAGATTTATTACCCTGGAAGGACAAGTGGGGTGGGGGAGGCTGCAAAGGCTACAGCAGCAGCAGCATCAGGCAAGCAAGCATGCTAGCAAGTGAGCGAGTGAATGATCGAGCAAGAGAGCAAGCGCAGGTGTTTCTGCAGGAGTGGCTTTTTAAGGGGAAAGGGGCGGAGTCTGTGCAAGGGTGAGTTGGGAATCTAACTGGACATAGCCAAATAATGAATTTGGATGGTTGGACCTTGATGTTTTGTCTCAGGAATGAGTCAGTGGCCAAACAAGGGACTAGATAGACCTTGTGGGCTAGCTTTAGGACTGTAAGGTTTTAGCAAAGGGAAAAGGAAGGGAGTAAAAAAGGCAAAACCTGTCTGCAATGTTGGCCATGCTCAGGCCTGCTAGAACCCTCTCACCCCCACCTCCCAATCATTGGTTACATTCCAGAAGTTCCCCCAGGCCAACACCTGTAGTCATTTGATGGCTTAAAACAACATGTCTTCATGTGCTTTTGTTTCTGGAGGACAGAGGTCTGAATGGAACTTTGAGGTTAAAATCCAGGTGTCCACAGACCTGAGTTCCTCTTTGGAAGCCCTAAGGCAGAGACCATTTTCTAACTTTTCCTGTATGATAGGATCTGGGGCCCATTTACTTTCAAAGCCATCAACAGCTTGAAATGATGGGCAGTGTGGCATATCTGCTAACATACCACTGACATACAATGACAAGTTACAGATAACGCACCAAGCCTCCTGCCCTATGTCCATACAGTATGTCTAGGAAGGGCCATTTGTCTTTGTATTGGAACCTCCCAGCTGCTGAGGAAGGGACCTGATGGGTTCTGAGGTCAGTACTTGACTCAAGTAAGACCCAGCTTCCAGTGCTATGTCCCCAAAAGTGCTTCTCCATATAGAAGTTTCTGTGGCTTTCTCTCTTGAACCCTTCAGGCTGTTTAGGCTAAAGCTACTGGTGATGGTTGAGCCCAGATGGACTGGACTGGGTCTTGGATTGAAAGCTTTTTATGAGCAAGGGGGATGTATTTGTTCAGGACACACTGGGCTTTGAGATTTATGAAACACATTCTGATCGTGCCTCATGGACACAAAAGAGTAACAAGCTTAAAAAGGCTTCAGTTTCCTCATTTTAATGACACCAGGGATTCTGTGGGTTCCTCTAAGTGGGACTGGCAGCTTACTCTTTGCCATTCTCTAAGAGACAGTCAGATAAATGAGAACCCTGAGTGGTAAAGTGGATGAGCACCATCTGTACCAGGCCCTGGGAAGCCAGATCTCACACGTATTCCACAGTTTCTCTGAAGGTTTCCTGTCCACATAGGAAAACAAAAGGGCAGAAGGTGGGGGATGCTGCCTGAAAGTCCAATTCCAACCATGTGTCCAAGGCTGTCTAAGACAATTGAGAGGGTAGAAAGCTCCGTGGTTGCGATACTGCTGTGGAAGTTATTTGCTATCCGTGGCTGTTGAACCCTTGGAAGGTGGCTGATGGCACAGAGGACTTGAGTGTTAAAAGCC